CATGAATAATTCCTTGATAATAAAAAGAGGACAGAGCAATAAAATCAAGCAGATAGCTATAAGGCAATAAAAAGACCACAGAGCACTGATAACTGTAAGAAGGTAACAATTTACTCATAAGTATGTAACAATTTATCTGTAAGTAGGTAACAATTTAATGTAAGTAGGTTGCAATATATATATATTGCAACCTACTTAGTATTTTAATATAAAAAATTAATAAAAATTAATTTTTTTATTAATAAATGTCATATTTGACTTTCAGGATAGCATTTTATTATTAAAAATTAATTTTTTTAATAATTAATGTCACGTCTGATTTTTGGAAAGACATTTTAACATAAAAAATTAATAAAAATTAATTTTTTTATTAATAAAGTTATGTCTGACTTTTGAGATAGCATTTTATTATTAAAAATTAATTTTTTAATAATAAATGTTGTTTTACTTTTAGTGTAACATTTTAATATAAAAAATTAATAAAACTTAATTTTTTTATTAATAAATGTTGCATTTGACTTTCAGAAGATATATTAATATAAATATTAATAAAAATCAATTTTTTTATTAATAAATGTCATTAATATAAAAAATTAATAAAAATGAATTTTTTATTAATAAATATTGCATCTGACTTTTGAAATAGCATTTTATTTTTAAAAATTAATTTTATTAATAATAAATACTGCATCTGACATTTTAATATAAAAAATTAATAAAAATTAATTTTAATCATAAATGCTGTGTCTGATTTTTGGAACGACATTTTGTTATTAAAAATTATTAAAAATTAATTTTTATTAATAAATGCTGCATCTGACTTTTGGTATAACATTTTATTATTAAAAATTCATTTTTTAATAATAAATGTCTAATCTGACTTTAAGGCGATATTTTAATATAAAAAATTAATAAAAATTAATTTTTTATTGATAAATGTTGTATTTGACTTTTGGGATAGCATTTTATTATTAAAAATTAATTTTTTAAATAATAAATGCTACCTCTGATTTTCATAATGAAATTTTGTTATTAAAAATTAATATAAAATTAATTTTTATTAATAAATGCCACCTCTAGCTTTCGGGATAGCATTTTGTTATTAAAAATCAATAAAAAATTAATTTTTATTAATAAATGCTGTATTCAACATTCAGGGTGACATTTTTTATTTCAAATCCAACTAAAAATGAGAGATAAAATCCAAAAAAAGCAATTAATAAACAGCTGAAATAATATTAAAATATAGTGAGGAGTATAACAAAAGCCTGAAACTTAAAATTAACCAAAAATATATTAAAAATATAGTAAAGGGTATAACAAAATTATTTTGAGGGAGTTTTGACAAGCATCTTTAAATCCAACAAATCAGATCTGAATCCAAATCTGAATTTGATAGATAGAATCTGAATACAAATCTGTATCCGTCAGATTAAATCAGATTTTTTGCAGAATACTGGTTTTATCTTTCTGTAGTAATTTTCTTCAATTTAAATAAGTTCTATATATATATCAGTATTCAGTAATGGTTTAATCATTTTACTATTTAAAGGATTTGTCTATTCCTTTATCATAATCATAAATCATTTGGTATTTGTTATTTCGTAAAGATTTAAATGACAAATAAAAATGATTAAAATCATTTAAGATTATTTAAATCATTTGTTATTTAGTCATTTGCTTTTACAAAAATTTTAGCAATACTTTTAGAGAATTGAGAATTTTCTAAAGTTTCATTAAGTATTTGAGAATGATTCTTCTATCATTTTTTTGAATGAACTAAAAAATTGTTCTAATTTTAGCTTTTTGACTTAATTTGATTAGACTTATCTGACTCATAATTTAAGTCAACTCATTTGAAACTTAAATATAATTTAATATACTATATTTAAAATATTTGCTCAATATAAAATATATATATTTTTTAATATATACTATATACTGTAATTAAATATTTTAATAAATTATAATAAACAAAATAAATAATAAAAATTTACAAAATATGCTATATTTAAAAATTATTGAAATGGCTAATTATAAAATGACAGGTCATTTGTTATTTGTCATTTGAGTCATTTGTCAGTCATAATTATTTGACAAATACTAATACAGTATATACCTTTTAAAATTTATAATTCCAAAAGAATTTTATATTATCATTTAAATTTTTATTTATTTTTATTTTTATGATTTAAAAAAATCTACTTAAATATTAAAGATTATAAAAATTTATAAATAATTGTTTATAACATAAATTCTAAATAAATAGTTTTAATTTCAATTTTGTTTATTAACCACCAACATTACATATTTATTTTCTATAAATGAAATTTGAACAAAAAATTTTATTTTTCTAATTGAATCCTTATTATGGTTTCCATAAAGATATAATACCATCATCAGCATAAGTAGCTAAAATATTTGAGAATGGATGATGTGAAAATCCAATAACATCGGCATCAGATAACTATTTTAAAAAATTTTTTTTTAAAAAAAGAAAAATTGTAAAGGAATATTGAAATGATAAATTAAAGAAAAAAAAATACTTTATTTTTTACCTTTATTGTTGAAGTTAATTTTCCAGATTGCACATTAAAACAATATAAATTAGAATCTTCACCTATACAATAAATAAAATCTCCTTGAGAGGATACCGTACAACTAACAAAATCACCATCAACTTTCTTTTCCGAAGTAAATGATTTAATTATCTTAAAAACAAGAGCAAATCGTTAAAAAATAGTCTTACTTAAAAAAACGTAATTTACTGTTTCCTTACCTGTCCTCTTAATGTCATCAAATAAACTATCGAACTTTTGTTACAAACTACAACCTGATCAGCATTTTTTGGCATTTGAACCACACAATTAACCGTTTTTCCTCCAGCAATTGATGAATTATCTCGACCACGACCAGTTTGCGGACATATAGTATGTAGACAGTCAGCTGATTTACTATCCCAAATCTAATTATTTCATTATAAACATAAGTGAAAAAAGATACTTTGGATTTTCTTGTATATTACAACTAACCTTTACGGTACCATCACTGCTTGCACTTAATATTCTTGACATATCATGCGAGAATATCGCATTATTAACAAATGAAGTATGTCCCCGGAATTCTTTTAAAGTTTTGCCAGATTTCAATCCATGAAGCCTGTAAATGATAATAATATTATGAATCATATAAACAAAACTAAATATAACGCACTCACATACCTGATAGTATGATCGAAACTGGTACTCAAAACCTGACTTCCATCCCGGTTAAAACTTACAGAAGTAACACCTTGACTATGAGCTGGAGAAAACCTTCTCGTACATTGACCTGTTTGGATTTTCCAGACCTAAAAAAACTTACGATTTGAAAAAAATTTGGAAATAAAACGTGCTACTGAAATTTTCTTAAATCTGGCTACCTTAATAGTTCCATCCTGCGCACCAGACACAAGCATTTCACTATCTCTGCTAAAATTTAGACATAATACTGGATCATTCATTAACATAGGATTATCCTGATAGAGATAATGACGTCTATTATTTTTATTTATTTATTTCAAAGTCAAGATCATTAAAATAAAATTGAACAACAAACTAACCTCTACTTGGTATTTAAAATCCTTTCGAAGTTTTCCAGTTAAATAGTTCCATATTTCGATAAATCCATCTAAACTACCTGTGGCCAAATATTGTCCATCAGGCGAAAATGCTACAGCCTCGGCATGATTTTTTTTTAGGAACTACAATAAACGAATATGTCGAATTCATCAATTAAGAACGTATTGCTACATATTTAATTTAAATTTCGAATGGTCATATGATTAACCTTAATGGTGGTATAACACTTCGTAGGAACAGCATCATCCTCAGCTTTTGTTGTTGGTGCCGAACCTCTAAAAAGGTCGAATGCAGCATCTAGCGGTAATAATCCTTGATGTTGTTGCCATTTCAAAGCTTGCCCAAGAAGTGACAAAAGTCTTGAAGGTGGCACCACAGTAACCTCACTAGAAAGCTCTATAACGATAAATTTAATAAGCGCCCGTCAACATATTAACAGAATCTATTTTAAGACATAGAACCTTGTGCAATAACTTGACGCCTCTTTTCCTTTGATATTCCTGACGGATATGCCTTAAGTGACAAAAAAATTAGTTCATTATCAAATGAAATTGTAAACACACATAGTGATAACCAACCTCTTTTGGATCAAACCACGTTCGAGCAAGTAAATGTTCAAGATGAATATATCGCTCAGGATGATGATCCCTTAAAAGCTGCATTGGATCTGTTTGCCTTAATAAAGTTCTGGCCGCTCCTAATTCTCTCATTTCGATTAATTCTAAAACAATCTAAAATTGGATTGATTTATTATTATTCATTCAGCTGAGAACTGACAAAGGAAAAAGCTATAATGAATTCAAAACCTGTTCATAAAGATCAATTAACTTTCTCTGTGGTATTTTCAAATTAGATACCGTGCGCAATACAACATCCCAATGCCCTTGTATAATTTCATCAGTAAATGATTCTATTGAATCAACGGTATTAAGAGCTATGGTGGATTCTTCCTAAATTGAAGGTATTAATTTAGCAAATACAATAATACGTTAAGGAGAACGACCTTAAACAAACCTGTAAAGCGGCATAACTATTTGGAAGGTTACTTTCTTTCAAAAATTGTAAAATTAATCGAATTACGCTAAATATAAGTATCATAAGAGAGAAAAAAGTGTTAACGACTAAAATTTATTAAAATCAAGAATTAATAATTGGGAAGTTTGACTTACTCGGTTGACTCAATTTCCATTGTTTGGGTTTTTTTTTCGAAAATAATCTATTTAAAAAATTTTGGTGGCTTATATTATTTATATCTTCCCACGCTTTGACCAACCATAACTTCCAGAATTGGAATATTGGTCTATTTGCGCTTTGTTACACGAGACGTCCGGATGTCAAAATTTGCTTATGCACTTTCTAATTTCACAATTTACCTCTATTATGCAATTTACAAGGAGTTCTTTTCCTTCATTTCGAAAAGGTTTTACTTTTAGTAACCGTAAAATATTTCGACCAAACCTCTTGAATTATCAAACTTTGCATGAACAGACTACGAACGTTTTACCAAATAATGTTGACAGCAAGAGCGACGAATTTAAAGTGAATAAAAATGTACTGTTTTACGACAGCATAATAATAATATTCATTATATTTTATTGATAGGAAAATGCTGAAAAAATGAACATACTTGTCAAAAACTTGGAAAACATAATAAATAAAGTTGTGTTAGGTAAAATAGTTTATTTATTTAATCAAATTCATTTAATATATAATATGAATTGTTTTTTTTTCAATTTCATTTGAATTCCTTTAGGTGGCAGTGAGAGCGCTCGAAAGCGCCATCTGGAACGTAAAAAATTATTAGTTCGCGATAGGTTGATATTAGTTTTTTCACCTTTATCGTTTTGAATCTTGATATTTATTATATAACCAACTTTCTACTCTATAAAAGGATAAATCATTTACTTGATAATGGGTTAAGTTATTTCATATCTTCTATGTTATTTATTGAGTACTAATTTAAAATTAATTACTTTTGACTTTCTGCTTCTTAAAGATCTCCCTTCCTAGAACTTTCTCAACTAGCTGGTTACAAATTGTACGCAGATGAAATACCCGCAGGCGGAATAATTTCTGGGATTGGACGCGTTAAAGGGTTAGTATATAATCATAGTAATGATAATTACAGAAAAAATGAATAGTTGATGATTTGAATATTTATTTATAAGTTCTGATGCAGGGTAGAATGTATGATTATCGCTAACGACTCAACAGTCAAAGGCGGAACATATTATCCCATTACAGGTATGACTAAAGTTGATTAAATATATAACTTACAAGCTATAAAATATCAGTCCTCACAATCTTATAGTCAAAAAGCATTTACGAGCACAAGATGTTGCAAGAGAAAATCGGCTACCATGCATATATTTGGTAGATTCGGGAGGTGCTAATCTTCCCCAGCAGGCAGAGGTTTTTCCAGATCGTGATCATTTTGGACGCATTTTCTTTAATCAAGTTGGGGATTTTTATTTAAAAAATGTTATTAGGAATTTGAAATTCTTCGATTGAAACTGATTTTTGAAATTTCAATTAGGCCACAATGTCTGCTGAAGGCATACCACAGATAGCTGTTGTGATGGGATCATGCACGGCAGGTGGCGCCTACGTTCCCGCTATGGCAGATGAAAGTGTTATTGTTGCAAAGCAAGGTACCATTTTCTTGGGTGGACCTCCATTGGTCAAGGCAGCTACTGGTGAAGTGATCACAGCAGAAGAACTAGGAGGAGCAGATTTGCATTGTGAGTAACAAATTGAAATTTAGGGATAATAATTTCGGCGACTCATGAATCAAAATCTTAACAGGTCGAACATCCGGCGTAACAGATCATTACGCTAATAGTGACGAACATGCTTTACAAATCACAAGAAGCATTGTTGAGACGCTTAATTGGTCGAAGAAACCGAATGTTAGTATTAATTAATATTAGAGATTTTTCTACATATAGGCGTGAACTAACAAGGGTTATTTTTTAAGTTATCAATTAAAAAACCCGAGGAGCCTATATATTCTGCATCAGAGCTTGGTGGTATTGTGGGTGATAATCTACGTAAAACTTTTGATGTAAAAAATGTCATTGCGCGTATCGTGGACGGTAGTCGATTCGAAGAATTTAAGGAATTATATGGGACAACATTAGTTACCGGTTAGTTTTTTTTTTTCTCTTTTAATTTCAAACTTTATAGAACTATCTTCTGATTTATTAAGAACATATTTAACGCAGGCTTCTCGCATTTATACGGCTATCCCATTGGAATTATTGCAAATAATGGAATCCTTTTCTCAGAATCAGCTCTGAAAGGAGCACATTTCATTGAGCTTTGTGCACAACGTGGTATACCGTTAATATTTCTCCAAAATATTACAGGATTTATGGTTGGATCATCTGCGGAAGCTGGTGGCATCGCCAAGAATGGCGCGAAATTGGTGACAGCAGTATCGTGTGCTAAAGTTCCAAAATTATCGGTTATTATCGGTGGAAGTTTTGGCGCTGGAAATTACGGAATGTGCGGAAGAGCATATAATCCTAGATTTTTATTGATGTGGCCGGTTAGTTTTATAATTATATTCATTAGTTTAAATTAAACTAAATTTAATAATGTGTTTTGTAAAGAACGCGCGAATATCAGTGATGGGTGGCGAACAAGCCGCGAGCGTTTTAGCTCAAATTAAACGAGATTCAAAAGCAGAAAAGGGCGAAGAGGTACGTTCATCAATCAGCATTGATAATTTACGAATGGGATATAAAATATTAAAATTAAAATATTCTTTGATAGTGGTCAATGAAAGAGGAGGAAAAATTCAAGAAACCTATTCGCGATAGATTTGAAGAAGAAGGGCATCCATACTTTTCTTCGGCGCGTCTTTGGGATGATGGAATCATCAAACCTGCAGACACAAGAAAAGTTCTCGGATTGGCATTAAGCGCCGCGCTAAATGCACAGATTGAAAAATCACGGTTTGGTGTTTTCAGGATGTAGATTTTCATGATAAAATTTCGAATTATTTTATATGTTTAAGAGATGGAATCTAAGTTAGATAACTCTGATCGTATTTAAACACTTAAAATATTCGAAAAATTGAATTTCGATATCTCGAACTCGATGGATAATATAATATTGTAAGTAATAAAAAGTGATACTATTCGAATATCACATGTGAGTTCGAATAAAACTAGGCGCGTTTCGGATAAATGGCGATTTTTATCATATCATACATTTGTCAAGTAAAAATTTTCATATAACCTTTAAATCGTAATTTTTAATAATTGATATTCAAATTACTGTTTAGTACGCATTGAATTTCTTTAAATGGTAAAATGAAAAACAAATTGCTCTCACAGTAATCAAGTGATTTTGCATGTGAACAAAAATTTATAATGTAAAAGTATCTAAACATTGTGTGAATCACTGTATACGCCCAAAAAAGTTTATGATGTAATTTGCAGAATTTACGAATCGAGGATTGATCATCAAAAAAAATGAACGGGGGTTTTCAAATTTTGTTTATATAACAGTGAAAGTTTCACTTTTTTTTAAGGTTATCAAGAGTTTCTTTTGAAGTATATCTGTAATTTCTTCTTACCATTTAAAAATTTCTTCCATATAAATTTGTCCAAGATGTCTGGAAAAGGTTAACGTCAAAAAAGATATTTAAATAAAGAAAAATTTTATTATGATATATAATTGTTTGCTAATTAAGTTGCATTGAATTCAGGTCAAGTCAATAAAATCATTCGCTTCAAAAATGATACTCCAAATGAAGTTATTAATAAAACCGAAGAGGAAATTAAACAAATGGGTATTGAAAATTTTTTAAAATTTTTTTTTTTATTTCGTGAATTTTTTTACAAGTAACTTACACATTATGATAATACAATTTTGGTAGGAGGTACAATAACAGGTAAAACTGTGATAACGGGAAAGACTCTCATGTTTACCTTACCAGCTGGCACTATGAGTAAGCATTAACAGATACACATAATGACCTTTCTTTCTAATTTAAATGATTGTAACAAATCTATTTCTAATTCACTATTTAGCTACTTTCGATGCTAATGAACATGTTGATTCTGTTGAGGATGATGCTACTGTTACAATCCAATGAATTAAAAAAAATTTATTTTTTAATTGAAATTCTTTTATTGTCGTTTCAATGTTTTATTTTTATAATATGATCAAATAAAAATGTAAAGATTCAAAGCGCAAGAAAAAAAAATATGTTTACTGAAATTTATAAAATGAGCAATATGTCGTTCGTTCTCTTGAGATTTCGGCATTCCTAAATTTAAAAATAAAAAAGACAAAATTAAGATAGAGTATTGTATATTTCCAGCGAGATTAATTGATGTGAACGATCATATATCTATTAATTGGGGTAAATATCCTTTTTTATCAACACTTTTTTTTGTTTTCAGTAGATTGACAGATTGAATAAATATTTGGAATAATCATATCGTTCAAAGAAAATACAATTGAAAAATGAACTTTTTACCTGTTGTAATATTGGGGAAATCTTGTTATTAAAAAAAAAAAAAAATTTTTTTTTGTTAATAAAAATTGTTCAATAAAAAAGAAAAATGTATTAAATATATTAAGGGTTTATTTATCAGAACTTCTTAGAGGGTTAAATTTTATTTGTCATCTTATGGTTTGATTCTCGGAAAATTTTGTCTCATCATTTAAAAAAAAAATAAAAATATAATATTATCTTCGCTTACCTTGAAGAAAAAAAAATTTTTTTAATTTTTTTTTTCTGAATACAAAAAAAAACTTATATATTAGATTGTTAGTGGCCGATCTTTAAGATCGATTTTTAGTAACCTATAAAAAAAAATATATATATATATTTCAATGCCTTGAGGTCAATTAACGTAATTAAAATGTGGCGTAGTTTATTAAGTCCAATTGGTCCAATTGCCAACACTGCTTGAGGCAAAGTCAAAACATGAAATAACAGGTCTTAACAGAAATCTAATAGATGTTATGGCTAAAATTCGAACTTAAAATCCGATTATTTCGCTGATTGATAAAAGAACTTCCAGTATTGTATAATAATATTGGAAATTTAGGTATATCGATAGAAAACCTATTTTCGAACATATGCAATACTTAAAAAGAAATACATTATTAGAGAATTATATTACAAAATGTTGTAACGTACAATAATTACGTGTCCTTTTCTAATTTAAGACGCACTTGTTTGCGATTAGCGTATCTTGGGGCAGATAAAACAAAGGTGACGGTCCATCTGATTCGAACCACCGAGATTGGTCATATGATCGGACCGCGATCCAAACCGTCGTTAAACATCCCTAATGATAAGTGAATTTGGTAATTGGGCGTAATTTCAATCCTGAATTTACTGTGTGCTCTCTCGGTGATGTACAAAAGTGATATCGAACACGAACCATTTTACTGCAATTTGAATGTGTGACAAATTAACTCGTTATTTATCCGTCATAAAACCAATTTTATCACTTATCAACGGCGAAATTTATTACATAAAAGTCCTGTCAAAAGATACGATTTTTTTTTCAAATGTCTAGTTCATTTTATTCCAAAGAGGTCGAGGAAAAGGCTTCAACATCGACTCGTGACGCGTATCATTCGGAGTCAAATACCGAAAATGACGCGACTTCTTCACCCCCTGCAGAGCTTTCCGATTCTATCGACCAATCAATCGAATCGAGAGAGAGTACGAGCTCGAATTTAACTAGTAAAGATTCGATTAAAGAGAAGGTAAATATATAAAAGTGGATTCTTTATTATTTTAAAATTAAAATGATGATTTATCACATTTGGATGATGTTCATTGACCTTCTTCTTTTGTGCTTAGAGAATTGACCAAGCAATTATCACTGAAGAAGAAAGACGAAATAATATAGAATTTTTTGTTGGAAGAGGTTTAAAAACGCCAGAACGTTACATGAAAATTAGAAATTATATTTTAAATGCTTGGTTAAAGAGTAAACCAAAATTCGTTTCTAAAACTAGCGTCAGGCCAGGGCTCAAGGTTTATTTTTCATCTAATCATATATCTTATATATACTTTATAAAAAAAAAAAAAAGAGAGAATAAGCCTAATGATTAACCATGATTTATCAGGATTGTGGTGATGTTAACGCGATTGGACGGGTTCATTTATACCTGGAATCAATAGGTGCAATTAACTTTGGTAAGGATGCCGTAAAAAAGGAGAAGCGTCCTGTAAAAAGAAAGTCACTTGATGAGACTACAAAGAAATCGAATACTAATAATGTAAAACGTAAGGGGAAGTCGGAAGACGGTGATTATCGTCGAAGCCGGTGAGAACAGTGGAATCATATTTGTGATGAACTGTTTAATTCGATCAGAACGTCTTTGAACTCTAATTCTCTTTTTTTTTTTTTTTTTGATCATGAAGTGGGATCAAGGTTCTTAATAATAATGGTGAATGGTAAGAGCATAAAAGAAAATATTTTTGCGTTAATTCATGGACATAAACTTTTTTTTAGATTTTTTTCTTTTTTTAAATAAATATATATAAATATATATATAATATATATTAATTAAAGGGAAAATCTCAATGGATCTAAAGAAAATAGTGTAGAACCGGCAGGAGGTATAGATACAATCGAATTGTTTTTTTTTGAGGGATACGATTTTTTTGAAAAAATAATAGCATATTCGATCAATGATAAATGAAGTGTTATCGTACTTGGATAATTAAGATGACGTTCCAATACGCCGAAGCAAGAGGGCTCGTACCAGTAAAAACGGAGGACGGATTAATTATAATGAAATATCCTTTTTTTTTTCATTAAAGAAACATTTACAGAAAATATGCAATAATGTAATAACATTGTAGTTCCTTAGCAAATAACGTTACGATGCTTTAGCATATGACATGGTGGGCTCTTATGATCCTTTCCGGTTGGTTCCACCACATCATTATACATCGAGAAATCCTGCGCCGTTTCGAGTTTCAGTTTCGACGAATGTTATGGTACGAAAGGCTGATTTCACGTGCATTCGAAAAACGTTTCTTCCCTGATCTTTTATATACATTGCAGCTTTTGATGGATTTTCACGCTCATTTGGCACATACGGAAATAATTGGTTTGCTTGGTGGGCATTTCTATTCCGATCGAGAACTCATGGAAGTAACGTATGCGTATCCATGCAAAAGCGCAAGTACAGGATTTCAGGTATTTTAATCATATTTCAAATTTATGGCTTGGAAAAATTTTAAACGGTACGACGTTTATGATAAATATTGTAGTGTGAAATGGACCCTGCTTCTGAGGTTGCCGCTAGAGAAGTTTTTGCCGAGAAGGGACTTGAATTTGTCGGATGGTATCATTCTCATCCAACGTTTGATCCACAACCTTCTATCCGAGATATTGAAAATCAGACTCAATATCAGGTGAAAAAAAAAAAATAATAGTAAATGGCTGTGCATATTCATAGTTCTCAACATATATTCTCTCTCTTATCAACAGGAAATGTGGCGACGCGAAGATGGTGTGGAGCCATTTATTGGGGTGATAGTTACACCATATGATATCGAGCATGATTCTAATGTGTCAAGATTTCAATTCTGGATGAGTGGTACGAATTACGATCTTTCCGGACAATTCAGTAAGTATTAATTATTTCATTTTACCATTTATCGCCTTCGATTAATAATCCATCCATAATCGCATCATTTACCCTATTTCGTCCCCCTTTTTTTCAGGGACCCCTTATTCATGCCCACATTCCTTTTTACAAGATGAAAATTTGCCTGAAGAAATATTCTCGCAAATGGCAGATTTGGTCGAAGAATACCATAATTACGATCAGTGAGTACATTAAAAAATTTTCAAACGTAAACAATCATCACAATAACGCCAAATATATACAATGCATTTATGTTATTAATGGAACAATCATTGTTTATCGTTTAATTATGCAGGCGCGTAAATATGACTGAATCATATCGAAAGGATGAAGAACTTTCGAGGCTTGATAAATTGATCGAGTCATTATCATCACATATAACTGCTCCTTCGCATGCAGCCGAAACTCTTAGTTCTCGAGTGCGAGAATTAATGAATGGCGATATTCGTCCTGATAAGAGCGAAGGAGAAGAAGAACAACTTGAAAGCGATACAAAATTAGGAAGGGAATCAATATTAACTTAAAAGCTTTTAAGTGTTCGATTGGTTTATAAATAATTAAGGTTATTATATATACTATTATATGTTATTTCTCATTTGATAAAGGTGGTGAAAAAAAAAATTTTTTCTTTTTTTTTTTACTGTTGGGGTTTGTGTTGCAAATTGTTTTGAATGTATAGGATTTTTTCATTGTACCAAAACTTGATTTTGTTCTTTCCACCAATTTAAGATTTACATCTCACATGACTCATGAAGTAGAAATTCAGCCCAGCTGTGAGCCAACATGAATACAAATATTGTAAACTAAGTCATACTAGCCAATTTTATATTGAGAATCTGACAATTTATTAAATTGTATTCTTCATGGGGATAACTTGATGTGTGATTATAAAGATGAAGTTATCCCTTAGCACAGTTTTGCTTGTGTTCTCACATTTAATGAGTGGATAATTGCCTAATTTGCACGACCTTTTTTGGTTTTAGTAGTATCTACCGTTATTGTACACGACTTCATACTTTGTTGCAGCAAAAGAGAAAAAAAGAGACTATAGAAGAAGAAAAGAAATTATTTATACACAATATAACTTTTTTAAGTTACAAAAAAAAAAAAATTCCCGTGCATTATAATATATATTGTAAACCCCTAATATTTGTGAATCCTTCACCCTTCCCCTTTCTTTCGGTCCTCTTTTTTCTTTTTTTTTTTTGTAAGTAGCTTTTAACCGTTCATATAAATAAAAATTATATGTAAAAATATTCTTATCAAAGCCTTTTTTTTTTTTTTTTTTTCAAAAATTATATTGCATTATAGATTTATAAAGTTTTTACGGGGGGTTTTTTTTTCTAAAAAAAAAAAGTATATACATACACACATATATATAACATATAATAAATTTCAGTCAGATATCGTTCATATTCTTCTCTTATGATATAATATGCCAGCAGCAGAATCCCTTGATAGTTCATTCAATATGAATGGACAAGAAAGCTTTCAACAAATGGAAGTTTTTCCTCTATTACTTCAGGCACAAGATCTCGTATCTAAATTGGAAAATCGAGTAGTGGAATTGGAAACCGATTTAGAGGTATGTGTTATCTATTGCTAAATCTCGAATACCGTTTAAAAATACAAAAAGTTTAGAAGGAAGTCTCGTGTTAAATATTGCTGTAAATTTATAGTATAGAACATCAATTATGGTTGAATATGTTGAACCAACATTTCTCAGTAGTTCATAATAGAGTGTTATACATATACATATGTATGCATATATACATAATTAACATTACAAATCTATTTTCTTAATTTTAATAATAACTTGTGAGTACACACCATTTTATTGACTTGATTCTTTTTTATTTCATGAAAAAATTAAAAAAAAATAATTTCAGACCATAAACGATTCTCATGAGCAAGAACGTGATCAATTACTTCAAGAAATTGGGGAGAAAGATGAATACATACATAGTTTAAAAACAAAAATTAGTCGACTTGAATTTGGAGCTCGAGAAGCAATAATTGTATTAGCAAGGACTGTTGAAACGCTTAAAGCGCAAAATATTGATGAAGATGATGATAATAGTAAAGATGATGATGATAATGCTACGGCGGTTGAATCGACCGATTTAGAAGGACAATTTTTAGATAGCATTAAATTATGTCTAAACTATTTAAAAAGCGCTCAAAATAATAATCATAAACCTAAAAATTATAGGAAACAATCTAGGCGAGATTCAAAAATTCAACATGATGAACCTGATCATGATAGAATAAACGATCATAATGAAACGAAACATTTTGAGAAGGAAGAGGTACAAATTTCTAATCATAATGAGGATATCTCTCGACAAGATGATCAGGAAAAAAATGATCATAATAACAAAATTTCAAGAAGAGAATCTGTTTGTAGTGATCAAGTTTCCGTTGACCTAGGTGATTATGGTATAGATGGGAATGAAGATATCGCGGCTTTCGATGATGATACTTTCCAAACTTCCCCAAGGCAATCAATTGATTATGATCTCGACGACGAGGAAGAATTGGAACATCGTCGACGTGCAGAATTTGGAACGACATTAAATGGTTATGTACATGATGAACCGGAAGAGTTTGATGATCAAACAGAGCATGAGGAAGAAGAATCAGATCAAGAAGAGGATGAAACAGATGATGACGAATTTGATGAACGTTATTTACATGATCTTCCCCCGCAAGGTCCGGTCCCTGATATATCTCATACGGAAAACCTTTGTCCAAATTGTAACACCTTACTTGCTCAAGTTGATCAACATATTGAGGAACGCGCTTACCTTAAACGAGACCTTTCTGCCCTTGCTATATCTCTTTCGGAAGAGCAAACTATTCGTGCTCAAATTCAAGCCAATAAAGAGAATTTAGAACAAGAAATAGATGAATGGGTAAATGCAATGTTTGAGAAAGTTAATCAAATGGTATATGATGAAGCTAACGTACGTGAAGAATTGGAAATATTAAATAGAGAATATAAAGGAAAATTAAAAAATTCAATAAAATCTTCGGGAACTCGACAAGATCGTTTAAGAGAATTGAAATTACTATTGGTTCATTTGGATACCACTAAACAGCGGCAGACTGCTCCGAATTGTGTTAATGCATTAAACAGAAATTCTGTTCGAAGAAGTTTTATGTCAAATTCTCCTTTAAACAGCCCTCGTTCAAGTAAAGTGTTTGGATTTGGACATATGTCACCTAGCATCTTTTCTACAGCATCCGTGGATGAGTATATTCATAAGGGTAGACGTGTATACATTGATGGGGTTGTGTTTGAAGAATTTCAAGAATATGTGAAATCGTTTATAACCTCTTCCGCTCCTACAAATTCTACACCTACTCACGCATTTATGAAGCGTTGTATGATTGAAGACATTCAACCTTGCCTTTTCGAAGGAAGCAGTGGTTGGAAATCTCCTTTCTATAAGAGACGTTTATTAGATGCTATTATGAAAAATCAATGTGAAATCCAAACAATATACTACAGTTCTTCGAATTCTGTACCAAGTACACCGTTATCCAGTCAAATTAGCTCTACATCAAATACACGACAAAATAGTTATCAAGAATCACCTCCTTCACCTAAAGTTAAATGTAGTCTTTGTGGTCATGTAAGAAGTTGTGATTTCCGTATGAGACTTTCTGGGCCTGATGCTGCTGTACCACCATCAGCCACGACAATCTCATCATCACAAACATCAAGGTTCTCCGTGACCGGAACCCCTGGATGGATTCCTCTCGATCGATTCTGTAGAGATCGTGTTGTTGCTGTATGTGATTTCTATACTTACCTCTCACACTTACGTCAAGGATTACTTGCCCATTCCGCTGTTTGGACTATGTGTAAACAATGTCTCAAACATCGTAGGAAGATGAGTATGGCGCGTGTTGGTAGTGTGAGCATGTTTGAAGAAGAGGAAGCTCTCAACAATGAATTATTGAACAATCCTGAAATGGAAGGCATGGTTGTCATTGTTCATTAAATTAGTTACTTGTAATGGTGTCGTTTAATTCTCTTTGCTGGGCAATAGATCGATGGAGAAGAATAATTCTTTAATGTTATATAGAACTTTTAAATTAATTAAATTATTTATTCTCCGTTTATTTTCTTCTTTATACGAAGTATCTCAGCTTATAAATTGCTAAGAACTTTACAGAACAAGAATTTGGACTGAAATCTTGCTATTTGGTAATTTATCAAAAAAAAAAAAAAAAAAAAAAAAAAAACTATGAAATATTTATGGCTTATTTGTGGGATTTTATAGGTTATGATTCGAATTCAAGAAACAACAAAAGAAAAAAGAAATCACTATATATAATATAAATTATTCTTGTCAACAAAATAGATGTTTGTTATAATGTATTCAAAATACATATATATATGTTTATTGATGTATATATATGTAACAATTTATTATTATCATTTTTTTTAAAAAAAAGCCAACCTCAAAGCTAACATAAATTTCTCTTTTTTATTTTCTACTTTTTTTTTTGTATTTTGTAGCTATATGTTTATATTATACCCTTTTCCTTATATGATACCTTTTCTTCCCTTATTTTAGTCTTTATAGAAGACGCGGTTGTATTTAAAAAAAAATTCCTTTTTTAGCAAAAAAAAAAAAAGATCTATCTTTTTTTTCATCTTTGTTGCTTATTTGGTCAATAGAATAATTTATTTTTATTTATTTATTATTTGCTGATGAGGTTGGCAGCAAAAAAAAAATTTATATAATTATTATATATTATATTATATAATTTTTAGATCTTTATTTCGTATTAAATGAGTTACTTGAAAATGTAAAAAAGATCTTAACATCTAGAAATTTGTGATCTTAAAGTTTTATAACCCATTGTTCTTTACATTTATCACATGTGTACAAGAAGACAAATAAGTAATTGCAAGTTATTGCGGTGAGGTTACATCATAAATGACCCAAATTAAAACAATAAAATACAGAATCAGATTATGCAATTTTGTGGTTCACAAAAAGATTGTGAAACTGTTCATTCTCAAAAGTATCTAGTTGCTATGAAAAGAGATGATTTGCGCCATAAATTTCATCGTAAGGCGCCACAATATAATGGGGGATCTCCATTTATACATAGTAAACGGTCGCCTACTCGAAAGAGGTATCACAAGAATAAAAAAATATAATTTTTCTATCAAAAACCCCCGTCCCCCCTTGTACATATTTGTTTCATTACCAGTTAAAATACGAATCACCTTATTGAGTACATTATAATTTTGCAACGTATGTTGATTTAATAAATGTTTATTTATATTAAATTAAATCATGTTGAATCTCAAAACCAATAGTGATAAAAAGAAGAATTTTATATATCAATGCAAATTATGAAGAAAATTCCTGTAAATTAATATAAAATTTTATTTATCTTAAACATTTACGAATAAAATTCGTAAAAATATTTGTTTTTACTTTAGGATTTTTTTTTTTACTTTTTAATAAATAAATTTTATTTTACAAATGATTATAAATTTAACTGAATGCTATCAAAAAATGGACTGAGATAATACAAAATGTGAATTACTATATTTACGATTTCGTTATATTCAGTATAAAAATTGGCTTTTATTTCGAACTTTAGGTTTTGATAACAAATTACACAAAATTATTAAAAGTAGCTCTAGCTTAAAATTTTCTAATTCACTTGATCCATGTTACATTAAATTTATTAAAGAATCTATTGTTTTCACCAAAATCAATCTCACGTGCTTCCATTTTAGTAAGTACTGACAATTGGGAGTAAAGTCCGCAAATATTTTCATATACGCCTACAATAAACCTATATATTCCTAATCAAACATCCCATTTCTGATCATGCTTAATAAGAAAATATACATGTTCTGCAAGGATCATGAAGATCCCAGAGGGTAGGTCCTAGCGCTGGCATAAACCAGCTCTTTAGATGTAACAGTAAGATAGCGAAGTAGTATATTATAAGTACTATTGATATCCCGATTAAGCTCAGATATACAACTTAGACAACAGAACACTTTGGATCCATCCAATTTTTGATGGATATGATCACAGCATCCACATATCTACTGGTATATTCTTCAATATATATAATTACTTGATATTATGGATACTCATGAACCTTATGTAGAAGATATTGACAGAATCAGTAGTAAGACCATGTTAATATCATCCATGCACTCTTAGAATGAATCTGCCATTTTCCACGCCTAACTATTTCCTGTATCTTAAACTCAAGCAACAAAATAATACGATAATTTTGATACAGCCATTTGGTAAGTTTATGATGAGAATCATTAATAAGATAACAGATTTTTATATATACAAAGCAAGACTCTGCAAAATTTATAGCGTTTTCGTTTATATACTTTTTCATGAATAGTTTCATGTTTGCTTTGAATTTTGTCATATATTTGAGAAAGCCAATAAATTCTACTAATATCATTTTTGTCTACTCTATAGCTTGTTCACTTGGATTGTACAGTCATACCTCTCTATAGCGAATTTTTATATAACGAATTTTTTGGACAACTATATTAAATTTACCCTCGTTATAACGAACTAGCCAATCAAATTCTTTAAAAAATTCACTATAGCTCTATAGCGAAGTTGAAGTTCAGGACATAAAATTCGTTATATCAAGGGTTGACTGTATCCAGTTATAAATATCTGAACACCTGAGTCTAGAGCAATCACTGCATCTTCTGATTGTGTATGATCTTGATTTTCAGCTCATATCTCAAATGGTTAAGGAATACAGTGATAAAATTCTCTGAACTGATTCATTACAAGTCGTGTATTGTAATAGAGCTCTATTTAAAGATTTTTAGGTAATTTCATTTTTGAAGAAATGAATAAACTTCTTTAAATTTATCCCAGTGTTTTGATAGAATTGCAATAGATTGTTATCAATCTTTTTTAGAATGAAATTTTATTTTAAATTACGTCTGTTTTGCAGCAAAATTTGTTGAATATGATTTAAGCAAATCATTTATCACTTTTTTACAAATATCATAAGAAGTTTTAAGAACCTATTGAAGTTTGGTATTATTGAAGTTTGCGATATTTAGATATTGTACTCACAGAGTTTTTTTATCTGCTCAATACCCTCTTTTTTTTGATTGCTACAAATACTGATTGTAAGCCTATCATGCTGTTCCCATCCAATATTTGAGTTTTAACTTTTTTTCTTGCGTAAGAAAGAGATGAATATGTTATGTCTTGCCTGCTAGAATCATAGAGCTTTTATTTTTAGCAGCTTCTTATCTTCTTTATAATTAGCAGCAGAACGAGTTCTATTATTTCATGTCACAAATACTGTGACGATCGAGAGTAAGTCTTTTGCAAATTCTTTAGCTTTATTACTTTCAGCACTGTACTGAGTATTACAAGCTGAGTCTCATTTTTCTCAAAGACCCATTCTACAAGCTTAAATCCAAATCAGTACAATCGGTTCTAATAAAAAAAGTTAGTAAAATAATAGACAATAAAATCAAAGTAAATATAAAAAATCAAACCTTTCAGATAACCACCACTTCTTTGATTTCTTCCATATGTATTCATTTCAAAAGGACAACAAATCCCCTATATTTTCAATTAAATCCTAATCTGATATTACTGATGATTTCGTATTCTAGGTAGTATTGTCAAAGATTTGTGATTTATTATTCAAGATCGTCTCGTTGATGTTCTAAACTAATTTTGATATAATAGATCTTAACCTTTTGCATGATTTTTATCTATTAATTGTTTCTAAAGATTTCTCATACAGGGAATATAATTAGTATTTGCCAGTTTTGCAAATTCGTTTATTAAAATACTAACATAAAAACTTTATTTTTTTTTATTTAATCAAATTACAGGTTAATATTTAGTTAGACCCCATTAGCTGCAAGAACGACTTGAACCCGACGTGGCATTGACTTAATCAAATTGCGGTAATAATTTATGGGTACCGCATCCCATTCCTCTTTAACCCAAATTTCTAATTGCATAACACTTGACGGCTGTGAAGTTCGTTTGCAGATCTTAACCTCAATATAAGACCAAAGATTTTCTATTGGATTAATATCAGGACTTTGAGCCAGCCAGAAAAGTACCTCAACTTTTGAGGATATGAGAAAAAAACAGGCGACCTTCGTGGTGTAAACAGGTGCGTTATCTTCTTAAAAATAATTTTTTTTTGGTTTTTTTTGCATGAGATTTAACTGTATGAATTGCATAATTAACCAAAATTTCCTTGTGTGAAATTCCAGTAATGCGACCAACTAAGGGAACCAAAGGACCCAAACCAACCCAGGAAAAATACTCCCAAAACATGCAACCAAAGCTTTTTGGACTGTAGCAGCAATGCAATCTTTATGGAACTCTTCAGATGGTTCACGCCATACACGCCCAAAACCCGAAGTCCTAAATTATGTGTAGGTAGACTCGTCTGTCCAGACGATTTTTTTAAAATCCTCTACTGTCCAATTTTCATAAGTACAAGCCCACAAATACCATTTTTCTTTATTACTATCAAAAATTAATGGACTGAGATGGGGAATGCATGAATGGAGACTTTCTTTAGCTAATTCTTTACGAATAGTTTATGTAGAAACTGTTTTATGTGTTTTATTTATATAATTTAAATATATTTGAGAGAGGGTTTGACAACGGGTTTTTTTGTTTCTAAGAATAGAATGCTTTAAACGTTTGTGTTCGAAGTCATTAAAAATCCTTGGTCGACCTGTTCTTTTCTTTGGAAGGCTTTTTAGCTCATACAAATTCCACATACATCATGCTGAAGAACGAGAGCAACCAATAACTGTAGAAATCCTGCTATTAGAATGGCCTAACTTCTTTGCTGCAATAATTCCACCTTTTTGACTTTGGGTAAGTTCTTTTTCAAGACACATTATTGCGACAATTTTTTTTCACTATATAAATTTGTGGCTTTGATTTGTGTGCCCAAGTGACTCCTTTTATATTTTACAATATTAATT